ACGCCTCCGCGAAGGTAGGTGGAGGGGGCGAGGAGAGGCCGCGGGGGGCTCGGCTCCGCGGCCCGCTCTCGGCGAGTCGGGCTTTCTTTATTGAGGCGTTGATTTATTTATTTATTTCCGGGGATCGGTTTCCCCAACGCGCGCGCGCAGCCCGCAGGTGGGCTCCCCATCCCGCACCCTGGGGGTCCTGCCTTGAGAAGGAAAGATGGGGAACTTTGACCGGGCCCCTCTCCAAGGCCATCAAAGTTCTCCTGGCGCCAGTATCGAAGCCCAAAGCTAGCGGAGCCAGCGCTGCAGAAATTTATTCAACAAGTCAGGCTGCCGGCCGTGCCCAGGCTGTTTGTCCATCTGTCCCCGCTGCCCCTCGGCTGCTGCGGCTCTGCGACCAGCTGGAACCGAGCTGATGCCAGTGTCCTGCCGGCCGGGCTGAGCCGGGAGTGTTGGTGGAGGGACAGTGACAGCCGAGATTGAGTGGGGGAACCCCGGCAGGGTTTAACTTTCCTCCAGGCTGGGTGGTGGAGGGCACCCTCCTTGCCCTGGTACCCGAGCCAGTGGCGGAGACCGAGGCTGCACCTCATGGAGCCAGGCCAGGTTGGAGCTGGGACTCTAGGGACTAAAAGGAACCCTCAGCAGCGCTGGAGATGGTTATATAATGAGTGTTTATGATGATTGGGTTTTAATTGTTTGCTGAGTGGTGTGCCGGGTGGGGTGGGGGCAAGAGGGTTTGGCGGGGTAGGTCAGGCCTCTACTGAGGGAGGTCAGGCTGCCTCAGGGAGGGGGCTCCCAATGGGCTCAGACAGGCGTCAGCCAGCCTTGCTGCCTGAGTGTGGCTTCTGCTCAGGTTCCTGGTGCTCCTGAGCTGTGAATGAAACTCGGTCTAAGGAGAACCCTAGGCTATTTTCTGGCCTTGAGTGTCTGTGTTCTGGGGCCAGGTGTGTGTGTTTGTGTGTGTGTGTGTGTGTGTGTGTGTGTGAGAGAGAGAGAGAGAGAGGGAGGGAGCGAGAGAGGTCTGGAGAGCGCCTGCGTGTGTGTGTGTGTGTGTGTGTGTGTGTGTGTGTGTGTGGTGTGATGTGATGGGGTCTATTCTCCTATGAGGAGTTTCTCAGGCTGGAGGGCTCATTGGGCCTGGACTGCCTCTGTCCTTTTTTCTCTCTCTGCCTGGGGGCTTTGCCTGCCTGGGACGCTGTGCCCACAGGGCAGTGGGTCCAAAGGCTGGGCCAGGAGAGTGCTTGGCAGAGCAGTTTGGGCCTGCCTTCCTCTGTCCAGTCCTCGGGCCCTGCCAATGCCGTGGAGTTACCTTTTGGATCAGTGTTCCCTCTGCCCTCAGAAACATTCTGGAAACTCCTGTCCACCCTTCAGGACAAACTTCTTTCTATTAGAATATGAGTCCTAGGGCCAGGCTGGGCTCTGGGCAGGCATCTGGAGACCACCCTTTTCCCTTCCTGCTTCTGCATCACTCCTGAGGCCTAATGGAGGAGATGCTGGTCCGTGACAGATCAGGACAGTACAGGGTGACACTGAGCAGGGACGGAGCTTGAGACTGCAGTCTGGGGTGGATGAGGAAATGGGAAAATGGCACCAAGCTGGTGAACCTCCTACAGCCCCGAGGTCCTGGACACCGCCCTATGTCCTGCTCTCCCTGGTCCTGGATATTTAGAGCAGCTCTTGCCAGTCCAGGGCGCCACCATGGTGGCTTGGGGGGGGCTGCAGACTGTTTCTCTGCCCCTCTCTCCCGTCCTTCCCATCTGCTGTCCACACCCTCTCCCCTGATTCCCTCCATTCCAGGTGCTTTGGAAGGGCTAAGGGGAAGAGGGCATCTTCTAGGCCCAGCAGGGGGCACCAGGCAGCTCCCACATCCTGTGGGCTGACTCCTTTTGACCTTGGGTGGGCAGGTGGGTCAGAGGTTGCTATGAGAACCCCCTGCTCACCCACCCAGTCCTCTGGCTCCAGACAGGGACAACCCGTGGCTGAGCTGGGAGCAGATTAAAGGGATCCCCGTGGCTGCAGCTGCTGCGTGGTTCTTTCTGGACCCAGAGGCCAGCCAGCTCCACAGCGCTCTCCTCTCACTCCCCTCCCCAGTCTTTATCACTTATCCCCCTCTCCTCTGAACCCCAAATGTGGCTCCCTGGGCCTCAGCTCCCAGGAAGAGTGTTCCTGGGGCCCCTCCATCCCTGTCCCTCTCCTACTGGCTCGGAGCTTGGAGCTTCTCGAGGTAAATGAACAGGCTCCTGTGTGCCTCCTTGATCCGAGCTGTCTCCCCATGCTGCTTTGTTCTCTAGTTCCCAGCCCTGCATTTGGGCTGCTCAAGACTATGTTGAGAGAGAGAGAGAGGGTGCTGGGCTGGGTATGGGGTCCAGAGAGACCCCATGGGCTGCAGGGGGAGCAAGGCCCCTTCTCATCTATGTGCTGTCTTCTCCTCCCCTCCATTTCACCCCCTTCTACTCCATTCCTTTCTCCTCCTTGTTCCCTTTCTCCCTGACCCTTTCCTCCCTCCTCCTCTTTTCTGCAGAACATTTCCTTCCCACACGTCCCCAAGATATGCCCCTGCTTAGTGCCCTCCATCAACCCTGGTGTCCCCAGGAGTCCTGGGACTGGGCTGGGGCTCAGAGCTATATCTGTGGGTGCTTTGTGGATCTCTGGGTCCATGGGTCTCGGAGTCTGAGGGCTGTGGATCCTGAAATCCAGGCAGTGTGAGTTCATAGTCTACCCTGTGGCTGCTAGTGTGAAGAGGTAAGGAAACACATCAGACTTTCTGACTTCCTTTTCTTTTTCTTTTACATTTATTAAGCCCTTACTAGGTGCCAGGCCCTGTTCTGGTCACTGGGAAAGACAGCAGTGGACAGGAAGGCACAGACCAAATCTGCATGTCCTCTGGCCTCCTGGGCCAGGCACTTGAGGTTGTGGGAAGAGGGGACATGGCCACAATTTCTTGCATCCGCTCTTGCTGTGGGAGTGGAGAAGCGGCCTGTGTGTGACACATCGGATGCAGACTGCGGAGGACTTAGCATGAGGTGTTTGGACCCCCTGGAGCAGGTGCTGGCTTTTGAAATGGATGCTCCTGAAGGTCACAGTCTCTCCAGGAATGGCCCTGTCTCAGAGTTTCTTGCCCCTCTTTTCCCTCATTGCCTCTATGAGTCGTCCCCCTGTCCTAGACTCCACCAGAGCTGTCTGGCTAAGGACGCATCCCTAGAAGGGCAGCAGCCTCTCTGCTGCCGCCCTCCTGAGTAGCCATGGCCACACTGCACACTGCCCTGTGCTGGGCCAGGGGCTGCGCCTCCCCTGGGGATAGGGACAGATGAATGAGTCTGTGATCGTGGCCCCGAGGGAAAGATCACTTAGCATCCCGCAGCGTGGGCTTGTTTTACGTGCTTGGGATAATGCCTTTCACCTTAAAGGCTTTCCCTGAGGCTTAGAAGTGCACCTGCCTATCCAGTGTCTAGCATGGAGTCTGTTTTCCTTTCCTTAAGGTACTTTCCAAATCTCTTCCTGTTTGTTATCTTGAATGCCAGGGATATAAGATCCTCATTGGCATCTTATACAAGAAGAAGCAAAGGTTGGTGAGACCTAGTGACACAGGGCAGGTGAGCCGGAGTCTGGGCCCAGACTCTGGGGCTCCTGGGCCAGTGCTCTTGCTTGTGGACTCTCATTGGCATCTTATACAAGAAGAAGCAAAGGTTGGTGAGACCTAGTGACACAGGGCAGGTGAAGCCGGAGTCTGGGCCCAGACTCTGGGGCTCCTGGGCCAGTGCTCTTGCTTGTGGATGACCCCCCGACATGCACATCAGGGAACACTGCACCCTGATTTGTTAGCTGAAGTAAGACCAAAGTCCTAATTACTGCAGAGTGGGTAAAACTAATCAGCAGAGGCGCCTGCTGGGGGATGTTCGAACTGGTGGGGATTCCAATGCAGCCTCGCTGGCCAGGATTGTGACCAGAGGCCTGGTGACACACATGTGGGTTGGTACTCATGGTGGAGAGGGGGCCATCCTGGTCCCAGTTCTTTCTCCAAGGGGCTCTTGACCTTGGGAAAATCTCTCTATGCCTCAGTTTCCTCCCTGGTAGAAGGAGAGAGCAAGAGCGCTTGCTTCTGGTTATCATAAGATCTTAGCATGTAGTAGGTGCTCACACACACACACACACACACACACACACACACACACAAAGATGTTGGCTGGGATTCTTGTTAGCCCTCCTGGGAGGAGCTGCTGATCCATTTCATTGATCCAGGGCACTGCAAAGCTGGAAGGGCTGCTATTGATTTTGGTGAGAGGGGCAGGAGGGGTTTAAGATGTAAGCAGGCTCAGCTGGCTGGACCCATCCAGTTTAGGGTCAGGGTATACATGTGGGGGCCACACTTCAGCCATTCCTTTTCGTATCAGAGGGAGCCAGGGCATGGCTCAGCTGCTTTGAAGAGGATCTGAGAGCACTGGTGGACCACGTCCCTGTAGGTGCTGCAGCCTCGTTGACTGGGCTGCCAGTTGGATCCTGAGCTCCAGTCAGCATCAGGAAATCGGGGCCTGCTCTGGTCTGGGTGGCCTGGTGTGAATCTGGCCTTGCCCAAGCAGACACAGTGGGCGGGCTTGGGCAGGACTGAGGAGGGGTCCCAGGGAGGTGTCTGACCTGGAGATTGTCATCGAGGAATGGTTGAGGGAGCTGGTGACAAGAGGGCTGGGGCAGATGAGGCTGGGGTGGGCGGCTGTCGTCAGGCGTCTGCAGGGCTGTCATGCGGAAGAGGGAGCAGACAGGGCTGGGGGCTCCGGGGTGCCTGCTGGAAGCTTCTGGGAGGCAGCTTCTCCGCAGCCGCGCAGACTTTTCTGCAGACCACAGATGCCGGCTCTGCACCGCTCATGTGTGTGTGTGTGTGTGTGTGTGTGTGTGTGTGTGTGTGTGTGTGTGTGTGTGTGCGCATGTGCCTGCCTGTGTGTTCTGTGTATATGCAAGCATGTGCATTTGAGTACAGCGTGTGTATATCTATGTGGGATTGTGTATGTGTGCCTGTGGGTGTTGTGTGTGTGCGTGATTGTGTGAGTGGGTCTTTATCCTGTGTGTGGATGGATGTGTCTGTGTGAGTGTGTCTTACATGTCGTCTGTGTCTGTGTGATTGTGTGTATGTGGCTACATGTGTGTGTGAAGATGTCTGTATGGCTGTACATTATGTGAGTCTGTGTGATTGTGTATGTGCTGCTGAAGTGAGCACTGCCTGGGTGTGATCGTGTGGCTGCACATTGTGAGTGTGTGTATGTGTGTGTCCGTGTAAGGAGGCACTATGTGTACCATGAGGTGTGGGTGTCTGTGTGAGTGTGGCTGTGTGGTCTGTGCCATGTGTGTGGTGATGGACTGGGCCCTTGAGGGGTGCCATTCGCTATCAGAGATTCCCACTGTGCAGATCCGCAGCCTGAAAGTCTGCAGCCAGGCTCCGGCTCTGTTTCCCAGGACTCTAGAAATGAGAGCGGGAGAGCACTGTGTACTCACCAGGGCCTGGATGTCACCAGAGCACCTCGCAGCAGCCCTGCCATGGAGCGAGTGTCACCTCATTTGTACATGGGCAGCCAAGGGTACCTGTGCCACATTATATGAGCGTTGCAGCTGGGACTCGAACACAGGTTGCAGCTTCCCGTGCCCATACTGCCAAACACTGTACTATAGTTTTTGCGATGATTGCAGTTAATATTTTGGGCCTTTAAAGGTTCTGTGTGAGTCTCAGATATTCTGATCCTGAGGTTCCTGGATTCTCATATTCCCTGAGTGGATGTGTTGCTTGTTCTAGCAGTGACACCACTAGGTGTGAGGTTATTGACAAACAAGTTGCCTGCTGATGTGAACACACATGCGCTTAGACCACCCGGGCTCAGGACTCTGAGCTCTGGAGACACAAAGACTCCAAGAGCCTTGAGTGCTGGCTGGAAGATTCTGGAAGGCAGGTTTCTCACTGCCCTGGGAAGACTTGAGGGTCTCACCTGGACCAGCTGCTGGGTCTCTCCTGACTAGTGACTTAGTCAGGAGGGGAGAACTGTGACCTGGGTACCTGGTTCCAGGACACAGATCCAGGTTGGACACTGTAATGTTTCAGTGTTTGGGCTCGGGAGTGTGCATTAACTGAGTAGGGACTCACCTCTGCCACCTCTGCCCCTGGCCAGCTGGATGACCTCTGTCACTGCTGGATTCCCCTGGGTTCTGGCCTCATCCTTCATGAAGGAATAATGTTATGTCACTGAGGTGAGAATTGACACAGATGATACAAGGAGCTTTTTTGCCATTGTCTGATGGTGATGGTGGTGGTGGTGATGGTGATCATAATGATGGTAATGATAGTAGTGATGGTCATGATGGTGGTGGTGGTGGTGGTGGTGGTGATGGCAGAGGGAGGCTGGGTAGCAGCCCCTGGGGGTGGCACAGTTGACTTCATGCATGTGCAGGTCCCTGCCTTCATGGGTCCCAGAGTATGTTCCATCCACCTCACATCGCCTTTTCCGGAGGGTCCACTGGAGCAGGCAGGAGAGCTAAACATTACAGAGAGAAAAACCGAGGCTCCAAAAGGCTGGTGGAATGAGATGTTAGGGGGTCAGACACAATGTGCATCTTTCCCACCCCTCCCTGTGCAGGCCGGCACGGTTGCCACACCACTGCCAGGTAGGCTCATGTCAAGGTTAGGCCCTGGGAACATCAGGAGGGAGAAGTTGAGCGTGGTAGTGCGTGCCTGTAATCGCAGCACTTGGGAGACTGACACAGGAGGATTGTCAGTTTGAGCCTAGCCTGAACTATATAACAAGACCTTATCTCAAAAAACCCAAACCAAGGGCTGGGGATTTAGCTCAGTGATGCCACGCCTGCCTCATAAGCACAAGGTCCTGAGTTCGATCTGTACCAAACCAAACAAAATAAAAAACCAAACCAAACCAAACTGAACTGAACCTAACCAAACCCAACCCAAACCAACCCAAACAAATACAATCACCAAAAACAAAAAGAGGGAGGCGACTTGGGATGTAGAGGCAACTCAGACTCTGGGGTCTGATGGAACCCACCAATGCTGTCCCCTGAGGTGAGTCTTCCAGTCTCTGTGAGGCTCCTTCTGCTGCCAGTCAGCACCTAGGGCCCAGGTGCCAGCTCTCCTGGCGTCCAGCCAAGGCGCACAGGCAGTGGGGACAGGAACTTCAGCATGGGCAGCAAAGAGAGGACTCTGCGCTGGACCTGGGGGCTAGGAGTGGAGAGTGTCTCAGAGGGTGGCGGCCTGGGCGGTCCCTGAGGACTGGGTCAGGGGGGTGGCTTCAGCGTGATGGTGTCAGCTTTCGCCCTACAGGGAGGGGAGAGGCTGAGACCGTAACGTAGTGTGAGAGTTTGTTTTGTTTTTTTCTGGTACTGGGAATTGAACCCAGGGCCTCTGCACTGAGCTACAGCTAGTCGTTTTTATTTATTTTGAGACAGAGTCTCACTAAGTTGTTAAATTGCCCAGTCTGGGCTTGAACTTGCAATCTACCTGCCTCAGCCTCCTGTAGTGCTGAGTATGGCACTTCTCAACCGGGTTCAAGAGAGGCAAAAGCAAGTGAATGCACCAGGCCACAGAGAACAGTGAGGAGAGGGGGTGTGTGCAGCCCAGAGCCGGCAGCTCTTCCTAGGGGCTCCTCAAGGAGGGCGGGGCTGCCCTGCGCAAGGCCGGGCTTGGTGCCTCCACCCTCCAGGGGGCGCAGCCCATCTCCCAGCGCTCCTCCCTCTCTGCCCCACCCCCACAGCTCCTTTCAGCATCCTCCTCCCAGGGGCAGGGCTTCCCGTCCTCCATTGCAGAAGCCACCGTGGCCCTGCTTCCCTCCCTTAACTACCCTGAGGCTTTCGTCGGTGCTGTTCCTCCCCACTTGAGTGTTCTTCTAGCAGGTCTCCGATGGGCGGTACCTTCTGATTCTTAGCGTCTGTCCCTGAGCCTGTCTCTTCCTTCCCACCTTTCTCCCTTGTTTATTTGCTTCCCAACACTTTTTATTCCTTTGGCCCCCAAATATTTATTGAACACCTAGTGAGTTCCAAGGGTGATAGACACTGAATCATAGAGCCGCAGAAACCTGGAAGAGAGCAGCAGTGTCTCTTTTCTCCGGCCAGCCCAGGGCGGGTCCCAAGTCTGGCTTGTTCACAGTGTAGTCCCAGAGCTGGCGCATAATAGGTGCTCAGGAAATATTTGTTGGACAAATGAATGAATCTGCAGGGCCTGGACCTATCGGGCAAGGGGGAGGCCAGTGCCCGAGGATGGAGGAGGTTCCGCTTGGCCAGCGTGAGCTGCAGCGATGGGAGACCCGGAGCCACACAGGGAGGCTGTGTTCCACCCGGGTGGGTGACACGTGGCCGGCCAAGGTGCCTGGGAGCTTATGTAAGGCCTGTGGCTATTTTTCTGGAACCAAGAGCAAAGCCTCAAGCTCCAGAGAAAACTCTGCCTCCCTGACCAGCCAGGCGAAGTGGCAGGAAACGCCAACTCCCGCCCGCTGCCCCTGGGAGCCCAAGAACCATCCAGATACATCAGCAGCAGTGCTCAGTGCACAACCGTATGGCTGCCAGCAGCAGCAGGTGGCCACTGGGGATCCAGGACTTGTCCATCCCACTGCCCAGCCTGGGGCTCTAAGGCCCAGGGGCCCCCTCAGACGTCTTTTTATTTCCCCCTTTTTTCTTTCTTTTTTTGTTTGTTTGTTTGAGACAGGATCTCACTATATAGTTGAGACTGACCTGGAACTCACTGTGTAGCCCAGGCTGGTCTTGAACTCACAGCAATCCTCCCTCCTCAGCCTCCCCAGTGCTGGGATTACAGGTGTGCACCACCATGCCTGGCTCCTCATACAAGTCTTTAGTTCTGGTGGCCTCCAGGGTGAGGTACCAGCCCAGCCAAGCCACTGGCTCTTGTCACTGATTGGGTCTGGAGGGCTGGGGCTGGGGTCCCTCAAATTCCTTCCTGGTTCACTCTTGGCTCAGGGTGAAGCTTGGCTTAGCCACTCCTTTCTCGGGGCCGCAGTTTCTCCACCTACCAAATGGGCACAGCCACACGGGGGAGGACGTTGTTTCTACTTGGTTGAAGGACACCATTGTGACACACTGGTTTTGGGGATGTTGATCTGCTGGTTCTATCTGCCCATCTTCAGAGCAGAGAAGTTGTTCTGGAAGGTCCCTGGGTTCTCAGCCTGATTTGGCTGAGTGTCCTGAGTCCAGGTGTCCTTCCTCTGGGAACCCTCCTGTATTCCCTCCTGGCCGGCTGATGCCACCGCACCCTGACTAATCACGTCTGTATCTGCAACAAGTGCCTCTTTTTTTCTTGCAAGTTTTCTTTACCTTTTTTTTGGGGGGGGTATCTGGGATTGAACTCAGAACCTTGCTTCTGCTAGGCAGTCATGGTGCCACTGAGCTAAATCCCTGGCCCCTTGGGTTTTCTTTACCTTTCATGATGCACTAAATACTAACTCTAGTGTTTTGTTTATTTACATTTTGGGGCTGAGAATCAAACCCAGGGCTTGTGCATGTTAAACACACTCACTACATCTGGGCTACATCCCAGGTACAACTCTAGTCTTATAAAGGAAACAAAAAGAACACTGACTGGGGTGTGGCTCAGTGGTAGAGCATATACTCAGTATGTTTGAGGTTCGGGGTTTAAACTTTAGCGCTGAAAATAAAAATCTCACCATTACATTCTAAGTAGGTTCTCTTCTCCCTGCTGTTCACTTCATAAAACTGAAGCTCACAAGTTGACCAGACCTGGGCTGTGGCCTCCCAGCCTGGGAGTAGATTCCAGCTCACATCTAGGGTCCCCTATATTTCCTCAATATTCGTGGGCAAGGCAAGGATGAGGGGACTCTGGGGATTTGAGGCTGGGTGGTCAGAACTGTGCCCCTGTGGCTGGAAGCTGGTCAGGGAGGAGGTGCCAGGCCTGACCCCCATGTGCTGCTCCCTCCAGGTCCCCCAGGGCTCCCTGTGCAGTGCTGACATGGCTGAGAGCACCTCACCGCCCTCCTCATCTGCAGCGGCAGCACCAGCCTTGGAGCCAGGGATCACAGAGCAGCCGGGGCCCCGGAGCCCCCCTCCATCCCCTCCGGGCCTGGAGGAGACCCTAGATGGAGCAGATCCCGAAGTCCCACACCCAGACCTGGCACCTGTTGCCTTCTTCTGCCTGAGACAGACCACCAGCCCCCGGAACTGGTGCATCAAGATGGTGTGTAACCCATATCCTTTGTGTGGCCTGACGGATCAGGCACTGCCTAGGGCCAAGGGTGAGTATGTGGTCAGCTTTCTGTCGCTGTGGCAGAATACCTGAGAAAAATGACCTAGAGGAGGAGAGGTTTGCTCTGGCTCACAGGTTTGGAGTTTTTAGTCCATGGTTGATGGCTCCATGGCTTTTAGGCCTGTGGTGAGGCAGAAACATCATGACGGGAGAGTGTGGAGGAGAAAAACTGCTCACCTCACAGCGGGCAGGAGGTGAGGAGAGTGCGAAAGTGCCAGAAAAGAGAGACAAAGGGACAGGGGATATGACAGAGTCTTTGAAGGCGTGACTGTGGAGACCCACTTTGTCCAGTGGGGCCCTGGCTCCTAATAACCCATTTCTCTGGACGCTCTTCGATGTATTAATGGGTGAGATGCGCTGCCTTTGGGGATCAGTATGTGAGTGTGGGGGGCACTTGATATTTAAGCCCTTGGAGTTTGGGAGGGAAGTTGGAATGGGAGTCTGTTCTCTTGATGTCTCTGGTGAGGAGGCCAGAGGCCTGGGACAAGGCTGCTGGGCCTTGGTGCTGGGGAGTGGGCCGAGATGTCAGAGTACAGAAGAAAGCTTGTGGAAGTTGGGTTGGCTCCGTGCGGGGGCTGCAATTAAGTCAGACCCTTGTGCGGCTTCCGGTACTGAGCCACCGATGCAGGGCTGACTGCAGCAAGGAGAGCCCTGACTGGAAGACCTGTGGGTGGGGCTAGGGCATGGATACCCATGCACTTCTGTCTGGAGCCAGGAGGCAGCAGCGGGTAGCGTCCACACAGGTGTCCATGCCTGCCGCCACCAGTGCATGCGAGTGACCCATGCTCCAGATGCCCTCATACTCTCTGTGCTGTGGCAAAAACACCCCTGAAATGGAGGCCAGAGCCCAGTGTTGTGGCACCCAGTGTAATCCCAGCTACTTGGGAGGCTGAGTCAGGAGGGTGGCAAGTTGGAACTCTTCGACCTTGACTCAAAATAAAAGGGTTGAGGGTGTAGCCCCAGGGTATAGGTCACCTGCCACATGTGCATGAATCCCTGGGGCCCAGGGTTTGAGCCTGTTCTGAGGACTGGGGGGAGGAATGTAGAACAATGACACAGGCCTGTACCACACTGGGGATTTGGTCTGTACCACTTGGGTGCTGTGTGGCCTTCAGTCGGTCCCTTCACCTCTCTGAGCTCAGGCAGTCAGGACGATCAGTGCCACCCTGGGCTGCAGGTGGTCTTGGCTTGGGAGTCTGACTTGCTTGGGCTCCTGGCTGGTCCTGTGTATCGCATGTGTGACTTTGGGTGGCCCCCTTTCTCACAGCCCCAGTGCCTCCCCCTAAAAAGGAAGGGCTGGATGCTCTTGCCTCCACCCTCAGGGGCCATGGCTGGGGTTGGGGACAAAGATGGGGCTTTTCTGGAGGGAAGAAGGGCTGAGCTGGATGTGACCCGTGCCTGCCTGGTGAGAGCCCCAGCTCTCCAGGGTCCCCATGGCAGCCTGAGCCTGGGCTGGGGTGGAGGTGGCTCAGGCCTGAACCCCATCTTCAGATCAGGGATGATGTGATCCCCAGGCAGGGCTGCTCTGGTAGCGCCAGCTAGAGCGAGCCTGAGGGTTCAGAGCTAAAATTTAAGCCTCAGTGACACTTAAATCCAGTCTTCAGCCACCTGGAGATAGAAGAGATCTGGTTTTTTTTTTGGTATCAGAGATCGAACTCAGGACCTTGCACTTTCGAGGCAGGTGGTGGAACCAGTGAGCTAAATCCCTGGAAGTCTGTGTTCTAAAGAGTGTGCCTGAGACCTGGTGGCTGTGGTGCAGAGTGTCTTGGAGTTGGGTCAGTGACGCTGGCCATGTGAGGCTGAGGTTGCAGAGCGGAGTTGGGCCAGGTGGAGAGGAACCAAGGAGCTGAGTGAGGGGACCTTGGTGTCTACTGCAGCAGGACTCCAAGGGTAGCCTGGGGGGGAGTCAGGACCAGGACACCACGTGCACGCGCATGCACATGTGTGAGTGTGTGTGTGTGTGTGTATGTATCAGGTGCAGAGGCTCCCAGATCCTCCCTTGGTCAGGGTCCTCCGTCCCACCTGGCCTCAGTGAGAGGGGGGTCAGGGCAGTGCTTAACCTAGTACTCTAGAGTGGGAGAGCATCAGGCAGTGCTTAATCTAGTATTCCTCAGTGGGAGGGTGTCAGTGCAGTGCTTAACCTGGTGCTCCTCAGTGAGAGAGGTGTCAGTGGGAGCGCTGGGCCCAGTACCTCATCAGGGCCGGCTGCGCTGTGGGTGTGGTGGTGCTGTGTGGCAGGGCATTCCGCACACCACAGGATGCCTGGTGCTCCTCGCTTGGCGCTGTGCATTAGCAGTGCCCCGATCATGTGACCAGAAAAGCCCTTACACGCACAGCCCCTGCAGAGGCGCTGCCACGCCCACAGAGAGCCGCCCCGAGGAGTGGGAGCCAGGGGTGGGCCTGGGGACTCCACCACGGTCTTCAGCTGTGTCAATGTGCCGAGGGCCCTGGCCAGCTGCCCTTTGAAGCTCCATGCTCCTGACTCAGCTCCTTGCTGCCCGAGCTGGGCCCTGAGTCACTGCCTGACTCACAGAAGGCCGCGGTGGCAGCAGGAGGGACCTCCTGGAGCCTGCGAGCCAGGGCAGGAAAGGTCCACTCCCCCAGTGTCATCACACGCCCTGCCTGGCCCAGGCGTCTGGTTGGTCTCAGCCGGTAGGTGACTGGCTTGGAAATGCCAGCGTGTGACTGTGCTGTTTGCCTCATGGGGAGGTGTTGTGTGGCTCCGTGGACAGCGCTGGGCACCTGAGTGAGACAGACTCGGGGGCTGGTTCTGCCTCTAGTTGCTATGTGACCATGGGCTACTATCTTAACCTCTCTGAGTCCCTATTTTCCCACCTGTCAAACTGGGATGGTGATATCTGCTGGGAGAGAAGGCGCCTTACTGTGGCTGAATAGATTCAATCGGATGCCAAGCAACAGGTCTTTGGAGGCTGATAAGGACAGTGGACTGATGCTTACTGGTTGTCACCTTATAGCCATCTTGAGGTCGGTGCCCTCACAGCTCCATTTTATGCACGAGGAAAGTGAGGCATGGAAAAACTGAACAGTTTTTATGCAGGATTGCACAGCCAGGATGTGGCATATCTGGGGTGAAAACCTCAGTTCCCCTGACCCCCTCAGCCCCAGCAATTTTCCAGGATGCAGCTGCTACCTGTGCGACCTGAAGAGACCCTCTTCTCCCCTTGTCACCCAGGGTGGGGTTTGCTTGCGGCTTCCCAGAGTGGTGGGCGGGGTGTTCATATGTCCATTCAGGGGCTGCCTCACACTCTGCAGTGGCCTCCTGGGTGACACCCATGAGGCTTCTGCAGCCCCCATCCTTTGGGCATCCTCCTGGGCTGGCCTTCCTGTGACAGCAGCCAGTGCCCCTGCTACAGGACCCGCCACGCAGGGAGCCAGCCGACCACGAACGTCTCCTTTCTCTTTGGACTCAAGGCGCCAGCCCATGCTGGGATGTAGGACCTGCCAGCTGCCCAGTGACCCTGGACCTTCCTCGCACACCCTTGGCCCCCCTGCCAGCAGCACAGGGACAGCAGGTGGTGAGACCCTCGTGCCCAGGAGCCAGGTCTTGTGCTGGTTGTTCCCAGGCTCAGGCTCTCTGTCAAGGAGTGTGTGGGCCTTGTTGTCCCACTCACTGGCTGTGGTCACCAGAGCCTCACCGGGTGCCATGCACTTTTCAGAGGACAGCTATGGTCATTTTGTGGTGGGGATGCTCACTGTGGCTCCCAGGAGAGACCTGCCACAGAGACACCATCCTGAGAAGGAGCCTGTGACTGAGGAGAGCAGTGACATGGCCTGGGGTGCAGATGGGGGTTCCATGGAGGTGCAGTTGCTTTTGGGATTCAAGTGGGGATGAGGGGACTCAGGGGAGACCTCAGGGGCTGTGCCTCCGTTGCTGAATGGAGGAAGACCTGCACCTGGCTTCTTGGCTGAGTGGCCTCGGACAGGGTCCTTGCCCTTGCTGAGCTTCTGTGTGCACATCTGGGACATGAGGATCATAGTGACCCTAGTTGGAATATCGGGCTCTAAGGAGAGTTCCAGGGCAAGCACCTTGTAAGCTGTTAAGTGCCTAGCAGCAGCTGAGGGCAGAGCCAGCAGGGCCTTGTGTCCCTGGTACTGGTCTGAGGGGGCCCAGTGTGGCCTCTCCCCTCACCTACTACCTGTGCCCCTGGGCTGGCTCTCAGCTCCGCTGCACCAGACTGGACCTTGGGCCACCAAGGAACTAGGGTCTTTTCTGGAGGCCTCGGGGCTCTCAGGAAGGTCCTCCCCTAACCCCACCTGCAACCCTCCCGTTCTGAGCCCTTTCTCTCTGGGTGGGGCTGGGAGGGTCTGGGGTTGGGTTCTCACTAAACAGGCAGCTCCTGGGACCTCACCCCTCCACTCATGTGACCTCGGCCTCACCTCTCCCAAGGCCTACTGTCCCCTGCCACCTGCCTTCCTCCCCTGGGGTCCTGAGCTTCTCTTTGTCACTTGTGAAGGCCTGGGTGCCAGAGGGACACTGAGCCTGGATTTAGGGTGGGTCTGTGGCTCTCCAGTCCCCTACTCCCAGTACGGGCCTGGCTGTCCCGGGTCCGCTCAGTACTTTTCCAAATTGAAAAGTACTTTCCAGCCCACCATGACCTCTGAAGATCTCAGCACCCTCATGGGATAGCAGTGCAGGGAGCCAGCTGCATCTTGCAGCTGGGGAGACCGAGGCCCAGGAAGGGAGCCTGACTTCCCCTAAGTCACACATTGAGTAAGAGGCAAAACCAGGGCAATGGGAGCCTAGGACTCCGGACCCTCAGGCCGAGCTATCCTAGCCCAGAGGGGAGGTATCTCCTCCTCCTCCCACCGACCCTCATGGGGCTGTCCAGACATGTGGCAAGTGTTGCTGAAGAAGCAGCACATGCCTGGGAAATTGTCCATCTCCCTCCATCTGGTGTGGTTGTTTTTCTCAGAAATAAAA